GGTCACGATACATTTTGAAAAAACAAGATGGCTGACAGTTGGTCATTTTGTATCCAATTTGAACAAAAACCTGACAAATTTAGTCCAAGAAACCACATACTACAAAAAATAAGATGGATGCCAATCAGCCATGTTGGATTGAATCTAAACCACTGCATGTGCATATGTCCCAATGAAGTACTAGGCACATGCAAAGAATGAACAGACTTGGTTCGCAGGGTTCTAAAATATGAATTCGAACAAACTGACAGACGAGGACCGAATTTTTAGTTCATTCGAACAGGGACTCAAAAATTGCATTTTACCTAATGCACTCCTTAGGTTGTCCACTAAATAATGCCACAGTTCGTATGCATGATAACACTTCCTCAGCAACACTACCAGCCTTGGCATATGCTTCTTGCTCTCGAGTGGCAAACGATTGAATGACCTGACAACAAAAAATATTGTTCTTTGAAAATAAATACAACAAGTCATTGAAAATGACACAGTCCCCGTTAAATTTTTGAAAGTTGTCTTTGTGCTCGTCATATTAAAGCGAAGGGGTTGTTGCGAGCGTGTCCTTGAAACTTGAGTTCCAAGTGGCGTATACAACAGATTGTTTATTTACATCAAAACGCGTGTTCCGTGTAGTAGTAATATGGCCAAAAATAAAAACAGCTGTTATTCGGCCATCTTTGATCTGAATATGAAACACACTGATATGTAGGATGTATGTGCCAAATACGAATGAAAATGGTACATAAATTGTGGAAATATAGTAGTAAGGCCAAAATGTCAAATGGCTGTCAATCGGCCATCCTTGACCAGATTTTGAAACAAATTGTCATGGACATGTATCCTAACATGTATAATCTATGTACCAAGTTTGAATGACAACTGACAAAGCATGTCCAAAATACAACATTTTCAAATAACAAGATGGCTGCCAGTTGGCCATTTTGAATCAAATCGCTGAACCACTGCATGTGCATATGTCCCACATAAGGTACTAGGCACATGCAAAGAATGAATGGAATCAGTCCACAGGATTCTGAAATATGACTCTGGACAGACTGACGCACTGACGGACGGACACACGGATGGACGGACAGACTCAGTAACTCACAGATGGTCGGGGACATGTATGCTAACATGTATGATCTATGTACTAAATTTGAATTAAAACTGACGAAGCATGTCCAAAATACAACATTTTCAAAAACAAGATGGCTGCCAGTCGGCCATTTTGAATCGAGTCGCTAAAGCACTGCAT